TTGTTTCCTGAATCTTAATCTGTACGGAAAAACCTGGAATAAAGCCATTCATGATGAGGTTGTACAGCCCCTAAAGTCATTCATGATGAGGTTGTACAGGCTCTAGAAGACGATAAGCAGTAGGTACTCACAAGCCTTCCCTGAAGCCATCAATCAGTGCTTGGAAGAGAGGTTTGTTGTGAGGGATTGTCTGGAGGATGTTCCCGTCAGCAGTCACATACCCAATAGCCCACTGGCCCAGACGAGTACAGCTCAGCCGGAAGATATAACTAAGAACAGGGAGAGACAGAAACTTTAATACACATGCTGGCATTAGGGTGGAAGGTAAGAAACAAAAGTCAAAGCAACCAGCAGGAGTAACTTCTTAGGATTGGCCCAACAATGTAGTGCTTAGGGGAACCAGATCCCACATGGACAACCGTGGATGAAGTCCTCATCCAGAGGCTTGAATAACATGCTAGGCACATGTGTGTGCTTGCTCAAAATCCTGAAAGGAGGAGGAAAGGAGAAAAAAGGATTACAGTAGGACTCCAGCCCACTGGACATATATTCTCTCTCTCCCCTCCCTGCTTTGACAAAGGCATGCACCCTTTGGCAATTAAAAACAAAAAACAAAAAACTTCGTGAATAACTCTGGCCAGAAGCAAAGGATAAAAAAGCCACTTTTTATTTCTTTTGCCTTTTATTACCAGAGGGCTCGTGCATGTCACATGAGAGAGGCAGAAGAGATGGGGAGGTGGAAAAAAGCAGGCCTCCCCATCCATGGTGAATGGCTATGCCATAATCCTTTCTCCTTCGATTCTCCATCCCATCAGGATCCTGGGCACACAGGTGTACGCCTGGCATGGAAACCAACAGGGCTGGGACTCAAATCGCAGTTGGCCATGTGGGTCCAGCTTCCTCCTCACAGCGGCTAACACTGAGCTACAGGGCTGGCCCATCAACACGATTCCTAGGTGATTTAAAAGCATTTATCAAACCACAGGATCTGAGTAAGTCAACTATTCTGATAAACTAGAGTCAATCTTATCGCAGAATCTTAGCCGACGGGGAATTAATAAAAGATCATACTTCTTCTATTTCAGTAGAAGTCAAGGGAACAAAATCCAGGAGAATAAACCTTCTGCTTTATGGCACTGACCTGCCAGGTTTGTGAATGAACTTCTGGAGCCGAGCTTTCACTTCATCATAGGTCAGGAAAGCCATGTAACCAGGATGAGTGACAGCAAGGCTGTTCCAGTTCCTGAGCAAGGAGGACCAGGGCTAAGGAAGGAAATGAGGACAGTCACAGATCATACCACTCAGGACGTACAGCCGGTCACAGCCACAAGAGAGAAAAAGACTTCAACGATCAATGACTAATTCTCAATTTATTGCCATAGATGCTCACGCTGTCACCTTGAAGGAAGACAGACATGTTTGGGCGATAAAAACTTTGAAAACCTAACAGGAAAAAAGTAGGTGTTTATAGCGAGAAACTTAGACAATAAAAGTATTCACGGAATAGAAAAGCGGCTCTAACCAACAGTAGTGAGAGTAAACGAAAAGTGAAAACAAGACAGAGCTTACATGCACACTGAGCTCCGAGTGTGCACACGACTGTGTGTACACTGCAGAAAATACTATCTTAGAGAAAAAAAGAGATGAGTTCTTTTGGAAGCACTAACACAACTCAATATTAACGGTTGAGAATTTCGATACAATAAAAGAAGGCAGAAATATATGCAAACATCCAAAACAGAAAACTGATAAAACATAGTATGCCTATTTTCTGGTTATCCTACAACCAATAAAACGATATAAACAAATACCCAATAACAAAGAAGGAGATGAGAAGAAAGCATACTTAAATACATGAATGGATGAATGACTGTAATTTTAATCTTTTAAAATTTCTGCTAACAGTTTCTAAAATTAATGAAAATACTTTTATAATAGACAAAACCCCAAATGTTATTTAAAAAGCTTTCTCCTTCAGAAAAGTAGCAGTAACCGGTTTAGTCTATTTTTTTTATTATCCTACCTGAAAGAGTCGTGTAAAGATGTCAAATTCAAAAACTGAAATATAATCATTGCAGGTCAGGTCAATAGTGGATTTCAGCGCCATGGCCTCCAGCCCAGAACTGATGGGATGTACCTCGTGTAGGTCCTGTCTAAGGCTCTCGTGTAGGGCCTGTCGAAAGCTCTTCCAAGGGACTATGGTCCTGGAGCAGGGATGGGCGTGGGGGCGGGAGGCAAGGCACAGAGTGAGCTGACAGATCATTCCAGGCACGGCTAGAACCCCATCAGGATCTCAAGGTCAATTTCAACTCTCTTAAAGAAGCTAAGCTATATTCGGAACCAAGAACAGAAAGGAGGGAGAAAGGGATATACTTCTTAACCTCGATTAGTAACGAATCTTTTCGTAGTATTCTTCGGCACAAATGAATTCCCTTTTTTGTCTTTCTTCAGCTATTTGTTCTATTAGAGAAGCACCAAAATAGAGATGAGGTGACCTTTTACTGATAAATGTAATCTGTGGTTGGAACTTGACTATCTAAAAGCTTGTGCTTAGGTTTTTTTAAAGCGCACACTCTGTTCTTAGGGCCAGCCTGTGGCCTAGTGGTTAAGTGAGCCAGATCCCACACGGTGACGGCGCTAATTAAAGTCCTGGCCACAACGACTTGAAAGACAGTGCGTGTATGTGTGTACCGAATTCCTGACAGATGGAAAACTGGAGACAGGACCAGAGCACGACCATGCCCACCGCGGGCTTTTCTTCCTTCTTCTTTCTCCCTCTCTCTGAGGGCGCATACATCCTCTGACAATTTAAAAAAATATATTGTCTTCTTTGAGGAAGCCAACCAAACTACTAAGGTAGACAGACAGAGGAAATAGGGTTAAGATACAGGAAGAACAGAGTTTTGACAGAGATGAAGAAGAAACTAACGTAAAAATGATTAAACCGTAGATAAGGCTGGCAAACAATAGCACGGAATTTCTGTTTCTTACAGTTTTAAAATAAATATAATCTCATTGCCTTTGTAAAGTTTGTATATTCACCTGCCTGAAAATAAGAGATCAAGTGGTGTCTTGAATTCTTCCCTAGAAGTTAGGAAGTTAAACTATGTCCTTGCTCTTCCACTAGGATTTTAAAATCAGTAAGTATTCTATATTTTATGTATAAAACATGATTTCTTAAAGAATAAAGGTCAGGTTGGTAGGTGCTGGATTCCCACATGGCCAAGCACAGTTTGAGTCCCAGACCTAGCAGCTTGCTTTCTCACTTTCCCTTTCTCTCTCTGTCTCTCTCGTCAAATTAAAAAATAATAACAATAATTGGAATTAATTAAATAAATATTTTCAAAAAGAAATAAGAAGAAAGGTCTCCAAAGAGACATTAAGATCAGTACAGTCAGTTGAAAAGTTTCATTGCTTTCTACCTTTTCAGTTCTTTAATCCAAAATTTCAGGGTATAGAACCAGCAGGTGGCATGGTGGTTAAGGTGCTGGTTCCCACACGGCCGACTCCATGGTCTGAGTCCCAGACCTGGCAGTATGAAAGTCACGCCAGGTGTGAGTGCCCAAACTCTCAAGAGGAGAATGGAGAAGGGAATTGGGTATGGCTACCCCCACTTGGGGGATGATTTCTCACTTTCTCTCTGGTCTTTTTCTGACAAATGACACATTCCTATGACAAAAACCTTTTTTAAAACATTTCAGGACAAACAAAAACACTTCTATTTATAAACATAAGCTTGCTCGTAAACCTATCTATATCATTTAAAACTTCTGTATATTAAGACATGATATAGTAAAATAGACAAAGCACGAACTAGAATATCATATGAAAGCAACTAAGAATATGTGTCTCATAATAAGAAAATGACAAATAACTCAGTAGGAAAGCAGGTACGTTGGGCCCAGCAAGAGGTGTGGTAGTTAGCGTGCTGGACTCCCACATGGCTGACCGTGGTTCAAGTTCTGGACCCTGCAGCTTGAAACTCATGCGGGGTGTACATGCATGTGTGCATGCATGCCCCAAATCCCTGGACGAGAAGGGACTGTGGCGTGGCTATCCTCATTTGGGAGTGATTTCTCATTTTCCCTTTCACTGTCTCTCTCTCCATTGAACGCATGCACTCTATGGCAAAAACCTTTAAAAAAAAAAAAAAAGAGAAAGAGGAAGGAAGGAAGGAAGGAAAGAAACAAGTATGTCAAGAATAGGAACAGACAGGGCCAACAGCTGGCGTCATGGTAAAGGCAATGGACTCCCATGTGGCTGACTGTGGTTCGAGTCCCAGACCTGCAGCTTGCTTTATCTCCCTCTTACACCTTCTGTCTTGGTCAAATTAAAAAACAGTAAGTAAAATTAGGAAAAAAAAAAAAAAGAATAGGAACAGGCAAGTCATAATGATTGTGTGTGAAAAACATTCTTAAATTCCCTTCTCAACAGAGACTATAAAGCAAATATGCTAACAATTCATAGGACTATTAGACAAACAGTGGGGCAACTGGAACCCTTGTACACTACTTACAGGGATATAAACTGTACAACCTCTCTGGAAAGCAATTAGGCAATACTACCTGATGACTCCATCATGACCCAGCAATCCTGCCCCTGGGTAAGTAATGAAGGAGAAACTCTTGTACACAAAAACAATAAAGATAGTGTTCACCGCTGCATTGTTTGTGACAGCAAATAACTTGAAACATTAACATCCATTAAACATACAATGAATGCAGGGCCAACAGGGTGACATGGTGGTTAAGGTACTGGACTCCCAGGACTTGGACTGGACCTGGCAGCTTGCTTTCTCACTTTCTCTCTGTCCAAATTAAAGAAATATAATAGTAGTAATAAATAAAAATAATAAAAATAAAAACAAATATATAGAACAAATGGGAAGAGTACTCAATCAAAGAGCATAGGTTTCAACTGAATATGAAAAACTTTACCTCTTTCAAAAAAATGATTAGGGCAAAAATATTTTTTTTTCTTAAGAGACCTTTTTTGGCTATAGGGCATGTTCATTCACCAGAGAGATAGAAAGTGAGAAATCACCCCAGGGGGATGGCCGCACTATGACCTCAGCACTTTGGGCATGCACGCACATGTGCCTGGCATGAGTTTCAAGCAGAGTTTCAGTCCAGGACTTGAACCGTGGTAGACCACGTTGGAGTCTAGCGATGTAACCATTATGCTATCTGCTGGTCTCTAAAAACGTGTTAATATTTACCAAAGCTAGGAAATATCAGGTGGTTTAAAAAGTAATGATGGATTTTGCTATGTTTTTCTATACAAAAATGCATCATGACTTTCCTGACAACCTGATAGTTACACATATACACGTTTTCCTTTTTAAATTTGCTATAGGGCACAGTGGTTCATCAGAGAGCGAGCAGGACAGAAAATGACAGAGAACGTGAGAAAGCACCCCCGATGGGGAACAATTACACTACAATACCTTCTCCTCTATTCTCCTTTTGGGATTTTGAGCACGTACACACGTGTCCGCATGTTTTTCAAGTCACCATGTTCAGGACTCAAATTGAACAGTGGACCCAGCTATCTTGACCACCACCCCACCTGGCTGGCCCTATATTCATTATTCTTCTCCTCAAAGTGTCCCATGTTTTAAGAATTTCATTAATAAAAACCTACACAAAAAACTCCCAACATAAGCTTCAATTTGAGACTTACTTTTCCCCAAAAGCTTTTCTCCAAAAGTCAGCAGCATCTGCTTTAGTAATCCGAAATGTATCTCCTTGAAAGAGTCCACTTGGAAAGATCCCTTTTAGTTCTGCCAACATGTGGCTGAAGATCAGGGACAGTTTGGTAAGGTTTCGCCTACAAATGATCAGAAGTGCAATTGTTAAATAAACACACAAAATTATTTTTATTTTAAATACACCAAGTTTACCATATAAGAAAATAGGAACATTTATATAAAATACATTTAGGGGACCAGCAGGTAGCAGAGTGGTCGAGGCATTGGACTCCCACATGTCCAACCACGGTTCAAGTCCTGGACCTGACAGCTTGCTTTCACACTTTCGTTCTGTCTTTGGTCAAATTAAAAAATAGTAACAATAAATAAAATAATTTTCAAAAGATTAAAATACATTTAGAAAGAACCTTTGGCCAATACTATTCAGAGAGACACAGAATGAGGAAAAGAGGAAGAAGTGTGTTGTTAACAATCTACTCTGTGGGCCAGCAGGTGGAGAGGTGGAGGTTGTGGGGGCGTGGACTCTCACAGGCTGACTGCAGTTCGAGTCTCGGACCTGGGGGCTTACTTTATTGCTTTCTCTCTCTCTTTCTGGTGAGTGCATTTGCATTGTAGAAAAAAAAATGGATGATGATAAATAAAATCAAGTAAACAATTTATTATTTGAGAGATTTTTTTAAAAAAATATTTATTCATTTAATTCCATTTGTTATTATTTTTTAATTTGAACAGAGAGAGAAAAAGGGAAAGTGAGGAAGCAAGCTGCCAGGTTCAGGACTTGAACTGTGGTCAGCCATGTGGGAATCCAGCGCCCTTAACCACCACACCGCCACCTGTTGGCCCCTATTTGAGAGATTTTTTGCTATAGGGCTATCTCTTGCTGGAGAGATAGAAAGACAAAAAGCAAGAAATCACCCCCAGGGGGATGGCCATGCTGCAATCCCTTCTCCACCATTTTCCTCTCGGGATTTTGGTCACACATGTACATGCACCCAGCGTGAGTTGCAAGCTGCTGGGTCCAGAACTCTAACTGTGGTGAGCCATATGGGAGTCCAGTGCCTTAACCACTACACCACCTACTCACCCCAGTAAATAATTCTTAAAGAGCAAAAACAAAAACCAATACACTCTTGTAATATTGTTATTTTCATTCAAAGAAAGGCTTTGGAAGATAGTTTTGCTCTAACATGCTATGAAAGTCACAAATATGAGAGAAAGACTGTTCATCACTAGGTATTCCTGCCCCCTCCATTCAAACAGATGTTACATACAGTAATCAGGAAACAATTTTTAACTCATGTATTTTAAAGCTTTTAACCCTAAATTAATAAGTCTAATAACTCTGAGCATAAAGTAACATAAACAAATTTACTTCTTTAGGATGTAGTCAACAAATAAACAGAATTCAACAAATAAGTCCAAGAACCTGTGCACTGCTGTAACCACTCAACCACAAAATAAATGTCAGAAAAGCCGAAGATAGTGCTTCCCGCTTTGTACAGCTATTTTGAACTTTAAAAATCTAGTTGCTACCATGTAACTCATCTAAATTAAAGTTAAATAAAAATTATCAAAAAGAACTACTTGGGAACCAGCAGTTAGCGTAATGGCTATGTCGCTGGACTCCCACATAGTCGACCGCAGTTCGTGTCCTGGACCCGGTGGCTTAAAACTCACGCCGGGCGCGTGTGCGTGCGTGCCCAAGATCCCGAGAGGAGAATGGAGGAGAAGGGATTGCGGCTTGGCCATCCCCCCTGGGGGGTGATTTCTCGCTTTCTGTCTCTATGTCTCTCTGTCTGTCTGGCGAGCGCACGCGCCCTACAATGAAAATCTCTCAAAAAAAAAAAAAAAAAGAACTACTTAAGGGGCCAGGAGGTGATATGGTAAATAAGGCACTGGATCCCACGTGGCCAGCTCCAAGGTTTGGGGTCTAGACCCGGGCGCTTGAAAATCATGCTGGACATGTGCATGTGTGTCCAAAATCCCGAGAGAAAAATGGAGGAAAAGGGACTGCAGCAGTGGCCAACACTCTTGGGTGGGGTCTTGTTTCTCTTTCTCTCTCCCCAGTGAGTACACTCACCCTATGGTGAAAATCTTAAAAAACTATTTATATCTCTAGTTCTCTGGAATGTTTTAAGTCAGACCGTAAGAGGTCAATTTTAACAAGGCTGGCAGATGGCGTGGTGGTTAAGGTGCTGGACTCCTGCATGGCCTACTGCAGTTTGAGACCTGCAGCTTGCTTTCTCACTTTCTCCCAATCTCTCTCTCTCTGGACAAACTAAAAAATAAAATAATAAAAACAAATAATAAAATTTTTAATAAAGGTCAGTTTTGGGACCAGCAGTTGGCTTAATGGCTATGTCACTGGACTCCCATGTAGTCGACTGAGGTTCAAGTCCCGGACCTGGTAGCTTAAACTCATGCCCGGCACGTGTGCGTGCATGCCCAAGATCCCCAGGGGAGAATGGAGGCGAAGGGACTGCGATGTGGCTGTCCACCCTGGGAGGTGATTTCTTGCTTTCTGTCTCTCTCTGTCTTTCTGGCGAGTGCATGTAACCTATAGCAAAAACCTCTTCAAAAAAAAAAAAAAGGTCAGTTTTACCAAAATAACTCCTTTCCTTTGCCTAAAATGAAATTCTAACATCCAAACCACATCAGTATTCTATATAAGTGCACATGCTACTACTCTTTTTAACTATTAGTTAACTTTGTTCTAATAACATCTGTTTAGTAGATGTGATTATTAAGAAGCCACAGAGCAACAATTAACACCCCAGACCCTGTCTCTACGCTCAGGTGTGCAGTAGATCAGACCGCATTTGTTATCTTACACGTTCCTGTCACACAGAACAGGACACGGATGCTGTTTAGACACTGCTCTCCCCTGAACCTGCTACTATTACACTTAATTCCCCTTGCCCCCACCACCGTATTTACATATTCAAAAGTCTATTTTTTTTTCTTTTTATGGGGAGAAGGGAGGAAGAGAGAAAGTAAAAGAGGAAGAGAGAGGTATTTTGACAGGGTCTTGCCATGCCATGACCCTTGCAGTCAGCTGGGATCACAGGTTCATGCCTCGGTGCTTACTGTGTTCTCAGCCTGGCCCAGGACCCAAACCGGGGCCATCCGTGTAGGTCCAGCCTTGTGCAACCGCACCCCACTGCCTGCTCCACTCCAACTGGGCCCCAAAGTCTATTCTTGTCATACAAACGCACTACAAAATTTCAAGTCAAACAATGATCGACTATTGATTGCCTAAAAATTCTCCTCTCTTTTTTAATACTATGCCGGAGGGTTAACATCAGTCCTGTCTCTATCTTTACTGGATAAAAAGGCAGCATCAAATTAACCCAGACTCTTAATCCTGATTTGCAAATTGCTGCTGAAAGCTTTCTAATCAGCTTTTGAACAATCACTTTCGAGTTTTGGTATGTGTCTTCTTTCACTTACAGCAAGGCATTCCTTTTCTAATTTCCTGTTCCATTTCTGAAGGTACCTAACAAAAGCGATAACATTAATATTCTTTGAAGACAGTCCAAAATAATTCATATACCAAACAGCTCAAGAGTAAGATAAAAATACAGAAATTACCCAATCCCTAAGCCCCATTATGTGTTTTCCCCCTTGCACTTTAACAGCCTTCAATTATTGTTGGTTAAGACTTAGACCATTTGCCAAAGAGGAAACACAACTAGACAAGATCAAGTAAATATCACAAATGGAACATGGGACAGTTGAAGTGGACCGCAATCTGTAAACAGAAATCATTCCCAGCGAACTCGTCGCCAAGTCTTCAGCAGGTCACTGGACACCATCAGTGATTTGAACCTCAGACCTCTACGTAACTTTCTGCCCAATGTTACCCCTAACGATCAGCAAGGGAGAGACGTGATTCCCTTAAGATTCGCTTAACTACGGAGAACCTACTATGGGTAAGAAACTGCTCCACAGTACAGCCGAACAGTGCATGAGAGAAAGAAAATACTTATCATGCTCTTGGGGTTATCACAGAGCTCTCTCTGAAGAAAACAGGTTTAGATCTTCTTCTTCCTAAACATATCTTTCCTTGGTTTTCCCAGTGTGTTCTCTCTTTTGTTCTATTTGGTTTTATTCTTGTTTTGGCTTTTCTCCCCATCTTCTAAAGAGGTTATTCCCTAAGAATGTGCTCTGCTGTTTTCCAGTTTTTTCCTGCAAACTCTCTTCTGTTCCTTTGCGATCTTCAGGGCTTCAGAAAGTACTCTGCTAACAACTCCCAGGTCGGAGGGCTCAGGACCATTCCTGCCTCCAGACTACTTCTCCAACTTAGCTCCTACCACACTTCACCTGCACGCGAGCACCGCACAGCAACAGCCTCAGATCAAACCAATCTTCCCTGTCACGGCTGACCTTCCACCCTGGTCCCTATTTCTGCATTTCATGACACCACCACCTTACTTCCCGTGAGTTCAAAGCCTTAAGAGCCATTTTGACTTATTTCATTTCCTTCGTTCTCTGTTCTGAGTTATTTATCAATTTGCTAACCATCTGTTGCTGAGTCTATCTTTGAATTATGTTCTTATTTGAATCCAACTCCCTGCTACCTTCACCTATCTATACTGTAAATATTCTTCAGTCTCTTCCTGTGCAGATCTGGTGTTACCACGTTTAATGGCCTTTTAAGGACAAGGAAAAAATAAGCAATTTTCACAGTGCCAGCAGTAAAAAAAAAAAAAAACGGAGCTCAGCTTGGATTTTAAGACTGTCCACTGAGCTGGATTGAACACTCCTTTCCAACCAATTTTTTTAGTTCTTCACTAGTATGCTCCAGGCAAACTGTACCTTTCTTATACCTACACCCTTCTTGGCTTTCCCACATCAGTCTCTGCTTATCTTTCTCAAGCTTGAAATAAGACCTAGCTTAAATATCTTTTCTTTTTCTTTTTAAAGTTTTTGCTCTAGGGCATGCTAACCAGAGAGTGAGCAAAAGTGAGAAGTCATTTTCCAGGGGGGTGGCCATGCCACAATCCTGTCTCCTCCATTCTCCTCTTGGGATCTTGGGCACACATGCACATGCACCTGTAGTGATTTTCAAGTTTCCAGGTCTGGGACTCAAACGGCGGAGTCGGCCATGTGAAATCTA